AACTGGAAATGGACCTTCATAAATGCTGTTGTGTTTTTCGTATGGCTGTTATTCGACTAGAACCATATCATTTGCTTCCAAATTCAACGGGCGTGCGGCCTTATCATATAGTAACTTGTTTCGAGCTTTATGTTAACTTATCAAACCTTTTGCAAGAATATGCGATTATTGTAACCTATACTTTATTTCTTTGCCATAGTTATCGATGTTTTAAATAGGATCGCTTGTCGCAGTTTGTACTTCTTGCGGTAATGTTGCGTTTTTGCCAAAAACTAATTCAAATGGCGATAACATATTATCAAAAGCTGAATTAACAGTTACGTTGTGATGAAATGTAAAGTATTTTAAGTATGTATCCCAATCAGAAAATTTTTCATTTAAGTATGCGCGAAGGATACTAATTGAAGACTCTATGGTTACGTTCTATAGTACCGATTGTTTCATGGCGGTAAGCCGATACTTAGTTAAATCACATAAAAAGCTAACTACCGATGTAAGATGTGGGTAACGGGCCTATTATGTCTACTACAACTACATCGAAAGGCTTGATTGGTGTTGGAGTAATAATTAATTTTTCCTTATTTTTAGGTTTAAATTTATTGCGTGTGCAATCGTCGCACACATTAATGGCCATGTTGTACAAACTCATTTAATTTGTGTTTATTTTGTACACTAAATAGCCGAAAATGGATAACTCAGCCAAAATAGGTACGTGCTTTCGTGGAATTTTATAAATGTAAGCCGAAACTATGAAATTGTAAAAATGCGATTTTATAATGAGACTGCGCGCAAAATTGCAATGTTTGTGGGCAAAACGTCCAACTTGATTTCGGATTGATTTGAACCAACGTTTTCGGCTTGCATTATGTCAAAAGGATGTGTTTGTTGTAATTCATTCTGTCATTTACTACCACTATGCGTAGGCCAATTTATGAAATCATTTCATGCGTTTGAGTAGAAACTGAATGAATGAACACCATTTCATGATTTCAATTAACGCGAAATAGAATTTGTGCACTTAGTTTTTACTCAGATCAATGAAATAATTTCGTGAATTGGACTACGCATACATGTGATACTTATGCTTTTAATTTATAAGGTAATTTTATGTTTTTATATTCTTGCTACCACATGAATATATGAATTCGTGATAAGAATATATGAATTCGCCTTGGAAGATAGAAAGCGAGTAAGAATAAATGCCGAACAAAGGAGCTTGTCTTCTTTCAACATAAATAATTGCATTTTGCAAACAAAAGTGCGTACGTTACTTAGTGCCTTGGTAATGGCGAATTCGTAAGGATCTATTGATTGCATTATAAATATTTTCATTTATTTGTTAAAAATATAATTACTTCCATTACAACCCGGTCCTATGGATGCTAGAAGCGCGAATTCATATAAGGTGGTGTTACTGGAAAATGAATAAATAAATTATATGTATATTAGAAAATTAATAAGATGAATTGAAATTATTATTTGATTTCTAACCAAACCTATGTATGTATCTCAATAGCCAAATGGTTTGCCGAACCGTGAGCATATGTACACACAACCAGTTTCGTGAGTAGGTACCTGGTACTCACACCTTTTTAAGAAGTTTCACTTCTATCATGTGTACGGTGTTACACAGGCATTTCTTTTAAATTGGGTGCTTTTTATAAGCGTAGAACACAAAATAATTACTATAACTGGTATTTGGTTTCAAATTGGGACAAACTAGACAACTTAATCAGATTTTGTTTTTAATTGGACTAACGATAAATTATTAAACTTAATTAACCGCAATCGCAGCCAGCGATTAACGATTAAAAAAATTTAATCATTAATCGTACAGTTGATTACGACTAATTAGTTTTAGTAGTCAAACGCGATTTACATTTTAATCGTTAATTTTTAATCGTCAATCAGATGAACATTTTGCCAACACTGTGTGAAATCATATTCCTACTCACGGAAAAATGGACGATTTTGGAAAAGAGGCGTAGCACCTCCCATACTGACTGAAAGTTGCATATCTCTTCAAATGTTTGGGGTAAAGTACTCAAGCTTGGTATGGAAATACATATGTTTGTATGTATGTGAAACTAATACCATACTCATGGAGAAAAATGAGAGTTATTGGAGAAAGTGATGTGGGAACTTCCATGCAAATTGATTTTTCTATGCTGCATAACTCTGGAGGTATTTATTGCAGAGGACTGGAACTTGGCACCGAGATGTTTATACAAAATTAATTCCATACTCATGGAGAAAACTTTGCGTTATTCGAAAAGGGGCATCGTACCTCCTGTAGAAATTTACTGTTTTATACTGCATATCTCTAGAGGTGTTCATGGTAGAGTACTGGGGTATGTAAAACAAATTCTAAATTCATGGAAGAAGATTAGGGTTAAAAGAAAAAGGGGCGTGGCACTTCCTGTACAAATTGACTTTTTCTTGCCACATATCCCTGGAAGTGTTTGCGGAGGTGTGTATACCAAAAGTATCAATCGCTCGTGGAAAAAATGTGAGTTAACAAAAAGGAGGCATGCCGCCTCCCATACATACTAAAAATTTCTTAATACATATCTCCGGAAGGATACAAAATCTCTGCAAGTATTTTAAATTTGTTGTGGAGATTTATTTTATAAGTGCCGCACTGACAGAAAAAATTTCATTTAATGGAAAAGGGAGATCCGGGTTCGGCCTTAAAATGTAAAGCTGTCGTGATGCATACATACCTCTTGAGGCATTTGCTACAGTAATGAGGGGTGGTATTTTATCAAGGCCAGGGTACTAAATTTGAGTTGTAAGTATTAGTACCCGCCGTTGCACCTCCAAGAAGGTTACACGTTGACGCGTCGTATCCCTGGAACCATTTTAAGGTAAACTTAGAGGGATTGATATCTTTCGTATGCCTAGCTCGCAGACGAGATTTTATAATTTCATAGTTTTAAACGGCCTATATATATCGCTTAAAAAATAACGAGCTATAACAAAATCTATTTCCAAATCTACTAAGCAAATTCCTTACTCTAAAATTTAGGTGGCAACCCTATTCCAAAATACGCTGGAATGAATGGTACATATCTTGAGCGTATGTGTACTATGTATACATAACAAAAATGTTGATTGAGATTAACAAAATAAAAATTTTTATTACAAGTAAGCGTGGCAACCCTGATGGAAAATACTTTATAACCAAAGTTCTCAACAATACCTTTCATTTGATATCCATATTGCGATGTTTTAGATAAATTGTGTAGAATCGAAAATAAGTGGCAACCTTACACCTAAGACATAACATTTTGTGTATAGGGAAAGCATTGTTTAAGAACCTTCTCTTGGTACCCATAAAAAGTAATATTTTACCTTTTTTTCTAAGAAAAAAGTATATATATATGCGATTTAAAATAGGTGGCATCCTTATTAAAAATATTTTTGAATTAGGGATCTTCAAAATACCTTCCATTTGATACCCATATTATGATGTTTTAATTAATTTGTAACTAATTTCGAATAGGTGGCAAGTCTTCTCGGAGATATTGCCTACTCAGATAACCCTAAAATCCAAAACATTATCTGTGTACAAAATTTCGTCAAAATCGTTAGAGCCGTTTCCGAGAACCCTATGGATATATATATATATATATATCTTCTTCTATCTTCTATATTAATAAAAATGTTGTGTTCGGAATTATTTGATATAACTCTATAACAATTTCCAGTACTCTACCACAAATATTTCAAGAGATATACAACACCCCCTTTTACGAATTCGGGCAAACTTGACATAAACCATCTGGATGATAGACTGAATACGCCGTATAAATTTGATTGAATTCGGTGAAGCCGTTATCAAGTTATAAGCTCACACCAAAAACGTGTACTTATTTTTATACATAAGATACATATGCCACGCACCCTTTTCTAAATTAAGTTATCAAGTTATAAGCTCACACCAAAAACCTGTACTTATTTTTATACATAAGATACATATGCCACGCACCCTTTTCTAAATTTGGGCAAACTCCACATAAAACATCTGCATGATGGCCCGAATATGCTATATAAATTTGGTTGCATTCGGTGAAGCCGTTCTCAAGTTAAAAGCTAACTCACTAATTTTTATATATAAAATAGAGGCGCCACGCCCCCTTTTCCGAATTCAAGCAAACTTCACGTAAACCATCAGCATGATGGCCCGAATATGCCGCATAAATTTGGTTGAATTCGGTGAAGCCGTTCTCAAGTTACATGGTCACACCAAAAGCGTTCACTTATTTTTATATTTTAGTTAGTATGGGTGCTGCCACGCCCCCTTTTCCGAATTCACGCAAACTTCGCATAAACCACCTGCTTGATAGATCGAATATGCCACATAAATTTGGTTGAATTCGGTGAAGCCGTTTTCAAGTTATGAGGTCACACCAAAAACGTGCACTTATTTTTATATATAAGATATGATCAAAGATTTTGAAAAAAACGCCTTACTATAGCTCGATAGTTGGAAATGAAACTTTTGTCGCCAGATTTAAAGATAGGTTCAATAGCACACATCTTCCAACAGTCTAAAAACGTTCTCAGTCTCAAACATGTTTTAAAGAGTGTGGTAATTGTTTTTACTACATTTTCCACACAGCGAATAAAAAATATTGGGGGAAACCCGTTAGAGTTATAATTAAAGCTTGGTTTGAGGTCTAAGATTGCATTTGTAACGTATCAATAACATCGATGGGCATTGAATTTATAGAAAAACTAGCGGTACCCCGGTGTGCTTCTCTACACCAAATATTGGAAAATTGATGAAAAATCCTGGAATTTTTCTATATGAAAATTTATCATTTGTTTTATTTCAAAATGTTTGATTCTTTATTTTTAATCTTATTCCAACACATTTGGATATACAACATTTTTTGTTTTTCCATCGTGGGTATGAATAAATAAACAATTTGGAATGCCAACTCTTGAACAGGCCACATATAGCTGTCCGTGCGAAAAGCACGGCTCCTCCAAATTCAATCCGAATACTTGAAGAGTTTGTCCGCCTTGTTGACGGACATGGCAAATGCTAGACGCACTGGGAATTGCAAACGCTTGAATTCAAACGTCATGTCTGTTTTTATCAGTGGAATACGTGGCATGAGCACAATTTCACCTTTCGCTTTGCCAGTCAGTATTGTTGCTTCAACTAAATTCGTCATCAATTTTTTTACTGCCAGTCTTGTGCCATTACACAGTTTTGGAGCATTTACATTCCGTAGTAAAATAATTGATGAGCCGACCTTTAAATTCAAACAATATGGTGGCATACCAGGCGGTTCCATTGAATTCAAAAATTCGACTGGATAATTCACTGCGTCATCTTGATTCATTGCGTTGTCAACAGATTTATATGTTGTCACTTCATACGGCAATTTTTCTAGAATTTGATAATTGGTATAATTGACATGCACATTTTTGGTGCCGGTATTGCGCGTTCTCTCAACCAATCGTGATACAGGTAATTTTGAGCAATATTTGGAAACACGCATTCAATCAATTTTTCTTTTAATTGGAGAATTGATTCGAACTTTGCCATTTCCGACCTCTAACAATTGCTTCGAGAACCGATCTTCAAATCGATTATTGTGCAACTGAACACGCATGGAGGATGGTTCCGTGCGCAGAAGTGCAAAACTTTTGACTGCCATTCACCTGGGAGTGGCCAGAAGCGATTCTTGTGCGTACGGTTCAAATCGCAGCTCACAACGTCCGGATATTTATATCCACGTATCCTCTGGGTAGCAACCAAACACCCGTTTGGGAGCGAGCTAAAGTGAGAAGGCGTAAAACTTCGCGTGCGCTGGGTTTGGGTCCCGCCACGTTAAAACCCCGCCCAATGAAAAATTCCAACAAGCCTCGGATGAGACCCCCTTTTTCTGATGACGACCACGGCAAACGTATAAAGGACTATGATTTAAGGGTATGCACCTGGAATATCCGGACCCTTAATGGGGAAGGTGCCTCTGCCCGGCTGGTTGATGTCCTCGGGAAGACAAAGGCTGACATCACCGCCATCCAAGAAATGCGATGGACGGGGCAAGGTAAAGTAAGCGTGAAGCCTTGCGACGTCTACTACAGTTGCCACGTAAAGGAGCACAAATTCGGTGTTGGATTCGTGGTAGGAGAGAGACTCCGTCGCCGAGTACTGGCGTTCACCCCGGTGGACGAACGTCTAGCCACAATCCGCATCAAAGCTAGATTCTTCAACATCTCGCTCATCTGCGCCCATGCCCCGACGGAAGAGAAGGATGAGGCGTCCAAGGATCTCTTCTATGAGCGCTTGGAACGTACATATGAGCGCTGCCCCCGACACGATGTCAAAATCGTGCTTGGCGATTTTAATGCCAAGGTGGGCAAGGAAGGGATCTTTGGCGCCACTGTCTGAAAATTCAGCCTCCACGACGAAACGTCCGATAACGGACTGAGGCTGATCGACTTCGCCGGGGCCCGAAATATGGTAATATGTAGTACTAGGTTCCAGCATAAGAACATCCACCAAGCTACATGGCTGTCTCCAGATCGAAAAACGAGAAACCAAATCGATCATGTTGTGATAGACGGAAGGCATGCTTCAAGCGTTTTGGACGTACGTACACTCCGAGGGCCAAACATCGACTCGGATCACTATCTTGTTGTAGCCAAGATACGCACCCGCCTCTGTGCAGCAAAAAATGTGCGCCCAACAATGCAAGGAAAGCTTAACGTCGAAAAGCTGCAATCACAACAGACGGCCAATTTATTCGCCACTCGACTCACACACCTGCTCTCTGAGAGCACTCTTCAACAATCCGACGTACGCGAGCAGTGGAACCACATTTCCCGATCATTAAGTACCGCCGCCGAAGAAGTAGTTGGATTTCAGCGAGCCCGAAAGAACAACTGGTACGATGAGGAATGTCAAGAAGCCGCAGAGAAAAAAGATGCCGCCTACAGGGCCACGCTGCGATCGGGCGCAACGCGAGCCATGTGGGACCGTTATAGGGAACTGAAGAAGGAAGCGAGACGTATTTGCCGCAATAAGAAGAGAGAGGCCGAAATACGTGAGTGCGAAGAGCTTGAGATGCTGGCCGACAGGAAGAACGCCCGAAAATTCTACCAGAGGGTTAGGCGACTTACGGAAGGTTTCAAGACCAGGGCGAACTCCTGTAAGAACAACAATGGCGACCTAGTGACCGATGTCCAGAATATACTTAAATTGTGGAGGGAACACTTTTATAACCTACTGAATGGTAGCAGCGCTGAAAGTATTGAGGAAGACGAACCCGAGTCCCCAGTCGATGATGATGGAGTAGCTGTCCCACCGCCTGACTATGACGAGGTACGAATAGCGATTACGCGGCTGAAAAACAACAAAGCTGCTGGAGCTGACGGCCTGCCAGCCGAGCTATTCAAGTACGGCGGCGAGGAGCTGATGAGGTGCATGCATCAGCTCGTATGCAGAATATGGTCAGATGAACGCATGCCCGACGACTGGAATTTAAGTGTGCTCTGCCCAATCCACAAGAAAGGCGACCCCGCCATACGCGCCAACTACCGCGGAATTAGCCTTCTAAGCATAGGTTACAAGGTCTTATCGAGCGTATTATGCGAAAGACTGAAGCCCACCGTCAACGAGCTGATTGGACCTTATCAGTGTGGCTTTAGGCCGGGAAAATCCACCATAGATCAGGTATTCACAATACGCCAAATCTTGGAAAAGACCCGCGAGAATAGGATCGACACACACCATCTATTTGTCGATTTCAAAGCCGCTTTCGACAGCACGAAGAGAAGTTGCCTTTATGCCGCGATGTCTGAATTTGGTATCCCCGCGAAACTAATACGGCTGTGTAAAATGACGTTGAGCAATACCACCAGCTCCGTCAGAATAGGGAAGGACCTCTCCGAGCCGTTTGATACCAAACGAGGTTTCAGACAAGGGGACTCCCTTTCGTGTGATTTCTTTAATCTTATGTTGGAGAAGATAATAAGAGCCGCAGAACTGAACCGCTCAGGCACAATACTTTATAAGAGCGTACAATTGCTGGCGTATGCCGACGACATCGATATTATCGGTAAAAACAAGAGCTACGTCTGTTCTGCCTTCTCGGGATTGGATAGAGAAGCAAAGCGAATGGGTCTGGTGGTGAACGAGGACAAAACGAAGTATCTCCTGTCAGCACACAAACAGTCAGAGCATACGCGTCTTGGCACCCACGTCACTGTTGACAGTTACAAGTTTGAAAAAGTAGACGACTTCGTTTATTTGGGAACCAGCATTAACACCAATAATAATGTCAGCCTTGAAATCCAACGGAGAATCACTCTTGCCAACAAGTGCTACTTTGGGCTGAGTAGGCAATTGAGAAGTAAAGTCCTCTCTCGTCGTACAAAGATCACACTCTATAAGTCACTCATCATGCCTGTGCTGGTGTATGGCGCGGAAGCATGGACAATGAAAGCATCTGATGAGGCGGCTCTTGGAGTTTTCGAGAGAAAGATTCTGCGAAAGATTTACGGACCTTTACGCGTTGGTGATGGCGAATATCGCAGACGATTTAACGATGAGCTGTATGAGCTTTACAACGATATAGACATAGTGCAGCGAATTAAAATTCAGCGGCTCCGCTGGCTTGGCCATGTCGTTCGGATGGACAGAAACGCTCCTGCTCTGAAAATATTCAACGCGGGCCGCGATGCTGGTAACAGAGGAAGAGGAAGGCCTCCTCTGCGTTGGAAAGACCAGGTGGAGAAGGACTTGGCTTCACTTGGCATTTACAATTGGCGTCAGTTAGCACAGAAGAGAAATGACTGGCGTGCTGTTTTGGACTCGGCCAAAATCGCTTAGGCGGTTACAGCGCCAAATAAGAAGAAGAAGAAGAACACGCATGTTTATGTGTAATGTCAGTTTTTGCACATATCGCCACAGAGGGGAATACATCAAGCATGCATTGATCTCATCTGCCGGTGTTGATCGGGGAATCACGGGCAATGTTTGTCGAAAGTCACCTGGCAATAATACCAAAGCACCACCAAAAAGCTGCTGATTTCCACGTAAATCCTGCATTGTGTTGATTCTTCAAAGTCCAAAATAGAAAGACCGAATATCAATGTACACCACCTATTCGATAATACGATTAAATGACAGATATGTTGTGTTGTGGTGACTTTCATTCCATTGGCTCTACAAAATCCCTATTGAAAAACTTGCAGCCATGTTTATACTTGACTTAATTTATCCGAAGAAAAAATAAAAACAGCACATTATAGCAACATTTTTCCACTACGTTTTGAAACTTTTCGTACGAAATGGTGCAACAAATTTGTGAAAAATTATTGAAATAAATTCAATTGATTATTATATTGATTTATTTGAGCTCAAGGCCGGGTTGAAATAAAACAATCTGTTTTTGTTGTTTTTAAATCGTATATGTTAAAAAAAAAATCAAGTACTAATTGAAAACTATGTTGCTGCCATGTTTATACTTGACTTAATTTATCCGAAGAAAAAATAAACACAGCACATCATAGCAAGAATTTTTCACTATGTTTTCGATTTTTCATGTATCTGCTGTTGTACCATATACGTGGTACCCATCTGCATGATAGTCCGAATATACCGTTTAAATTTGGTAGAATTCGTGCACTTATTTTTTTATTTAAGACAGGGAATATGGAATTATTTCATATGTCTCTATAACAATTCCAGTAATCTACCACAAATATTTCAAGAGATATACCAGATGAAAATTT